ACCTCCTCAACAATTAAATAATCTTATTGTTTATGTGTAGATGCATAAATGCATAATGCAAATAGACTCCTGATGAGGCGGATTTGCAGCAATAGGAAGAAAATTATTTCTTCATTATAAAATTAATTTATATAAATATGCCTCGTTTCACACCGCCGAAACACTAAATTAGTGTAGAGTCAAGTGATCGGAGGTACGTGGCTGATGGGAGCCACCTTTTTGAAAGAAATGGCACACAATCTTCTCAGCAAAAATTACTGTATGGTAACAAATAGGGATTTTTTTGAGATTTGAACATAAATAATAAAAATCCGGGATATTGGTTTTTCTTATGTGCCGACACCTTTACCGCTACGCCACAGCTCGTAAAAGTTAACAACATTTAAATACTGATTGTAGTATGGCTCATCAATTACTGAACTTTTATTATTTTTCGGGAAGATACGAGTATTGTATTATAAAATGAAATATGTGGAGATAACGAACAGAATTCAGCTTATTTGTCAATAACTTGCCTCGTTTTAAAGTTGAAAAGTCGTAAGTTTTTATGTTGTTGATATTGGTAAAATTTTGTAATTTCAAGTTTTCAAAAGTTCTGGAATTTTTAAGTATCCACATCTGATTTACACCACTTATCGAATATATTGTTGCACAGTACTCGGTAATCGGTTAGAAAATCTGTAATCGGTTAGTCGGAAAAAATAAAATATATGTAAATTTGAACGCAATTTTCTTACAATTCATTTTTAAAAATGAAACTTCTACATGAACGTTGATCATTTACGGTTTTCACCTATCTATTTAAGCTGATTTGGAGATAATTATTGTTCTACTGATTGAGATCTCAGGGTAATTGGTCAGTTTGTGAAGTGTTAATTACTGTAAAAACAACATGTCGTTACCCCGACTGTCCTGTAATTCTTTAATGATGTTAAATAAATCACCGTTGAGCACTGTGAATCATTATATCTATCTTTTGCAGTTATATCTATCAAATTATTTTATTAGACAAACATTGTATATTAAGTAAAAGTTCAGACTTAGTTTTGATTATGGCGACAATGCAGAATGTGTGACATCTGCTCTAAAAATGATCAACGTCTGATTTCTCAGGCATGTTTCATGGTTTTCTTATTTTTTTCTTATCTATTGAAATAAAATGTATGTTCATGTAATTTCCTGATCAAGATAAACAGATTGTTTCTACCATCTTACTATGAGTAGAGCTACTTGAAAACAAACGTCAAGAAAATGTGCATTTTGATACGATTAACCGGTTAATAGGTCGGAACGTCTTGCGGTTAACCGATTAGCAATTCTGTAATCGATTGCCATCCCTAACATATATATATATATATATATATATATATATATATATATATATATATATATATATATATATATATATATATATATATATATATATATATTGAGAAAATGAAAACACTGATAAATGTGTACTTAATGTAATAAACAAACTAATTTTCCAAGGAACAGATGTCAAATATGACCATTCAAAGATTGGTAGAACCCATAGAGTTGGTCCTTATGGTGAAGAACGCCCTAGAGATATCATCGTGCGCAACAAAAAAGAACTAAAGGTATTCAAATTAGTGTGCAACAATATATTCGCTAAGTGGTGTAAATCATGTGTGCCCGGTTGGCAGGGGATGCTCACTCCTCCATGGCACCTGATCCCACCTCTGATTATGTGGAGGTCCGTGTTTGCTATGCTCCACATTTGTATTGTTTAATGGACCTTTGAGCTTGAATACTGTTCGTTATCTCCATATATTTCATACATCAGATTCTGTAGAGATACTTTTACATGTTTTATAATTTACTACAAGATTCCGTAATGAGTTGAATGGCTGTGGATATATCCAGAATATATTCCTGTTTTTCTTTATTTTTATTTTCCACAGACAGAGAGGGAATCCTTGTGACAAAATGACCGCTAAGCAAGGACTGGATATTGTTTGAATCCTGTCCAGGTTTTTGTTGATTTTACAACTAAAAGTTTTAATGTATACTTACTCTGAAAAATTAACAACTTAAAATTAAAGTGATCCCCAATTGTTTTTTCTGAAGGAAACAAGAAGTGATACTGTTTTGTCACTGATACCAAACGTAAGTACTCTGATTTACTCTCTGATTAATTCTTTGCTGAACGTTGTTGGTTTTTGGCTTTAGACTTTGACTAAAACACCAGGTACAGGCATGTTTGATGAAAAACTTTAAATCTTGATTTTGGAAACTCTAAAAATTAATACTATTTTGTTAAAATAGCTTTTTTTTCAAACTTTGTATTTAATGAAATATGACTATAGACCAATGGCCGACCTGAGTCATTCTCTTCTTGACAAATAACTACTATTTTGTAGATAAATGAAAACCTTTAGAGTAATCAGCAATTAAGTCTAGTAGATTTATGTTCATGTGGATAAATTAAATGATGTTATCCACAGTGAATAGTGCAATTTCAAAAAAAATTAAAGAAATGTCAAAAAATGTGTGCAAAAATTTGCATAGAGTTAAAAAGAAAATGGCAAAATGTCACATATTTGAACATCGTAGAAATTACTTATGTCTTTATACTAGTATTTAAGGAATATACTATTAAGAGGGTTGTCCAGTAAAATCGTAGACAAAGAGTTTTTCTCGAAAAATAATTGGCACACTAAGCTGAAATTTTCAGCAAATGTTTATTAATCATATTTAAGTGCACCTTTCTTTTTAATAAAATATAGACAAAAATAAAGATTTTATTATGTTTGAATGTGCACAGGGTAAGGTCCTACGGCGCACGATAAAAAAAAAACAGGGTTTCATTAGCGAATACACAAGTATTATTTCGAAATAAAAGTATTAAATGGACAAGGTTGGGGTAAAAATAATCCTATTTTTAACCCCTGTCTATTATGTCGTCTTTTGTAAAATTTCAAGGCATTTGCTTAATTTTTGGCAGTTTCCCGAGCACTTGAAATGGGAAAGTGGTAAACGCAACACACGAAAAATGGCGACGTTTGATGACGTTACGGCGCACCGGAGATCAGTTCCGTTTGATTTAGATGTATTAATGACGCCCTAAGAAACTTTAAATGACTACAGAAGAAAAAAATATAAACATATCATTAGATCTTTAGTATACAAGTGAAATGGGAGTTTTCTAAGCGGAAGCTTTTTGATCGGGTCCCCGGGTAGAACAAAACATACGGACAAACAGCTACTGGCAATAGCGAAAGACGCTGTCACTGTAGACCTTCGATATAACATAGCCTATTTAGTTGAATGATAGTGAGAGTACTGTCCATAACTTACTTATAAATCTTCAGAAGGTCCCATGTGTGTGCGAGTTTAGTTCCTCGACTGTTTATGGAGGAATAAAGGGAAACTCAAGTATGTGCATCAAAAAAATCCCCGAATTTAAGTGGGACTCATCCAACTTTTTTTAGCAAAGAGGAAACGTGATGTTGCTTTAGACACTTTGACGTTATAATCCGTGCGCCGTAAGGCGATACCACACATAACATAAAGTCTCATATTTTGTTTATTTGAGCATATATCTATTTGAAATTTGCTATGTATATTGATGAAAAATGTACAAAAAAGTAGTGAAAATTTTAGAGCGCAGTGATGATTATTTTTCACTCTAGATAACTTGTCCACGATTTTACCGGACAACTCTCGTAATGTCATTTCCATCAAAATATCATTTTCTTGTTTGTGTGATTTATCCTTGAAACTTTGACACCTTATCGTGAAGTTGTTAGCTTTTGTTGAATATTAATATGACTATATTAAGTATAGTTTGACCCTGCTGTAAGATTTTGTAATATTTTCATCGACTGTTTGGAGTTTTTAGTAGACGACTACATATTTCCCTCCCCCACCCATTGACTCAGACATCTAGCCCTTCCCACCTACATGCTGATACTCAACCCACCCCCCACCCCCACATAATCGTCAAAACTGACACATGTCTTTACTTACTTCCTACCAAATGCCAAACAACGTCATTATTAGTTGTCCTGGTTCAATGAAGGATACGAAGCGTCGTGTTTGATCTGATGATCCACGCCTGTCAACGAGACATGATACGACTCTTCGGATCAAGTTACTCTTTTAATGATAATTTTTTATATACCCCACTACAATTTGCAAATATTATAACAGAAAACTTTTGTAAGCAATTAAAGATCTTTAATCCATTAAACAAAGCATTTTTTTCAAGGGTATTTATGATACGCAAGAAAAAAAGTCATGTATACCGTGCACTACGTCATCAGTTTCAGAGAGTGGTGATATGGAATGTCGGATCACGATGTCACGTGATTGCGTATATTCAACAGTAAAATTGAGTGATACACAGTTGGGTATATAATAAATGCCAGTATGACTTTAGTATACAGTGCATAGTTTAGTATAAATTTGCAGCCCTCCTCTGTCAAGTGGTGGCGTCTCCATATGAGTAAAAAATTCTCGAGAACTATATTCAACAAACAAACAAAAAAAAATTACTTTTAATAATTATAGTTAAGTTATTATGTGGGAAAAAAATTAATGGGATGATTAAGATAATCTCCCGTATTATTTGAGTGTGATATTATATTGAAAAGGGACTCCAAATATTTTGGGAAATAATTTATACTTTTCTAAACTCATCATCTATAAAATAAAATTCTACCATTTTTTTACTCAGATTTGAAATATATTATTCACACTTCTAATTGGGAGAGAAATAATATTTCCATTCATAAAGTTCTACGAGATTAAGAGATAGGAATACTCAAAGAAATTGTACAAATTAGATACAATAAACAGTAATATAATTTTTATACATTTTAATCCTGACTTAAAGTTCTTTTGTCCAATATGCAGAATTAGGAGACCCACAAATTGTACAAGGGAGAAAACCCCTGAACGGCAGCTAGTACACTATTTAATTTATTATCAGCATTCTTGTCAGGACAGGATATGCATTTTAAAACTTTAGTTTTTGTGTCTGATCATCATCATAGTCTTTTGTAGCGCTGTATTACTTCTCCAGTGCTGCCACACCGGGTGATTCCAATTAGATACAGGTGACTGGGCGTACACTCCGTTCAGATTGGAGTTGAGACAGTCCCAGTACCACCAAGCTCCGTGATATTGTGTAGCGCAGTTTCGACTACTCCTCTCATTATCCTGATCTTTAGTGGAAAAGTGACTACCATTGTGATTTTTCAAACTGTCACCTGAAACAGGATATTGATATTGTTAAAGTATAATGCTTATCAGGAAAAATTGCCAACACGGAGAGAAAAAGCGTCATGATAGACCCTTATTGAAGATGTTCTCTATGCAGTGGATTGTATGTTAGATTCTAATATATTCGCAAGGTAATTTATTTTAATATTGATACAACAAATGAATTGTCTGATCACTGTATTATAAATACTTGCTTAAGATTAAAGAAACGATGGGAAAAAAAAAACAGAAAGAAATTGAAGAAAATTCAATTTGTAATCTACTTGGGGTAATTCATTGTTGTCGGAGGATTGTAAAGACGAATTTGTTCGAGCCTTTGTTGAACTAGAATCATCAATACGTGTTATGCACTTTTATACCGACTTGGATGAAAATAACTCAGATATGACACATTAGAACAAAATCTAAAACGATTTTTACTGAAGCAGTTCTTAAAACTGTGAAATTAAGATAAAGGTTGCTGTAAAACTTCTAGACATAAAAGAAACATATCAAACCTAAACGTAATGGAAATAGAATGACTGCTTATTCCTGAAAATGGAGCCTTACTTATGCAGTAATGAACCTTTATCACTTGCATATGAGGTGTATGTTCTCTCAGAAGATTCGATACGAAAGACCATGCTCTACGTATAAACAATTTCTAAAACGAGGTAAGTTATTGATGAACAAGTGATGAATCAAGAATATCAACAGTCTCGTTTAGAAGTTGTATGGTCGATACAATGACCTTGTCAGCAAACACAATCTATCCTAAAGTCATATGCTGACTGACGTTTTTCACTCAAATTATGATGCCATTATTTACAACTGAATTGTCGACGGATTTTTCCGTTATTTCCCGATCATGAAAAGCAGCACACGGTGGGTGTGACCGGTCGGAAGGGGATGCTCACTCCTCCATGCGATATGGCACCTGATCCCACTTCTTATGTTTTGGAGGTCCGTGTTAGCTCTGCTCCTGATTTGTATTGTATTAATGGTCTTTGAGCTTGAATACTGTTCATTATCTCCATATTTCTATAAATATATTTACCTGCCGTTCCTGAATATCCCGACAAAGTGAGTCTGTATTTACTGTATTCATCCCCAACATAAAATGTGGAATAGTGCGCGTATGCTTCAGCACCATCAAAACTTTGCAGTTCAACCCGTAGTTCTTGGTCCTTATTCTTTGTCAGCTCATAGATTGCGTCATTTCCTTTTTTTAAAGAAAAAAAACCCAGTAAATTGTTGTAAGTTTGCCTTTTTATTTGCTTATTCAAAGAAATGTGACATATTCATACAATTTTGAAAAATCATCATCGTCATCGATGGCTCTCATATTTATATCTTCCGAGTCACTTAGTTGACCTTTTGCTTACATAGACTAATCTTACCAATGTAGTAGTTTTTTAGAGTGATCCCCAAATCCTTGTTTATATTCCGACACTACATTTAGATAGACACCTTATAATTTATATGTTACGTAAACTAAACTTACCAATCCAGTAGTTTTTTAGAGTGATCCCCAAATCCTTGTTATATTCCGACACTGCATTTAGATAGACACCTTATAACTTATATGTTACGTAAACTAATCTTACCAATCCAGTAGTTTTTAGAGGGATCCCCAAATCCTTGTTATATTCCGACACTACATTTACATAGATACCTTATAATTTATATGTTACGTAAACTAAACTTACCAATCCAGTAGTTTTTAGAGGGATCCCCAAATCCTCGCTTATATTCTGACCACGTCCTGTAAAAATTTGTAAACCCGTCCTGTCTTCTTTGTATAGCCTGAAACATTTAGATGGTTGTCTCTTTGACTTGCTTGGACGTCAGTTTTCATTGAAAAATGTAATTGTTATAAAAAAAAACAGTGCAAAAAGTACAGATCACTTTACAATTAAAAAAATGGTTATTTATGTTTGTAAATCACGTGACTTGTTTATCTTACCGTCCACCCTCCACCTTGTGTTGTCATGTCACAGTACACAAACTTTGTCTTGGAGGCTATTGTTAATTTATAAACCCCATCTCTTCCCTGTTGACTCGAATATTTCCGTAAAATGTCCAAGCAATTGATAAAGTTTTCTGTGAGGTCTGATTAAGAAAACACATTAAATTTATTCTCGTATATCAGATAAACATACCTTTTACTTTCTAGAGAATACATTTCTGGTAATATAAGAGTACCGATATTTCAAGGTTCATATAAACATACATTTCACAACCTGCAGAATATATCTTTGATTTTGTAATAGTACCAGTATTTCATATATACATTCATTCACTGTTTACAGCATATATCTTTGACAATATAAGAGGCTGAGATGGTTGATTAGCGGACTACGAACAAATTTTATTGAATATATAGAGTAAAATACTCCACCAATATCTTCAAACTCATTAGGATTCATAAGATATTCATTTTGTTTGTTTTTTAAATATTAATGAGGCTTACTGAACTTCACTACCGAGTTTTTCTGGCCTCAGACTTTTTTCAAGGACTACGATATGGAAAATTCAAATAGAAATCCATCTGATCAAGATGTAGTCATTTTCTGAATTTATATACAAATGTAACTATGAAATAAGTAATGAGTTGAAATCGGATTTCACAATATGGAATGTCAAAACAAAGAGTGGGTTAAAATGTCAAGCATCTGCTAAGAGAATTTGCATGGACAGAGAGGCTTACAAGGGTAAAACAGTATGCACCCTTTTTCTGAGCGGGGGTATGAAATGTTTTTGAAACTATTTTTAAATGTTTTAGAAACTGTTTTTTTTTTTCTAACTGGGAAGCTAGCTATAATATGATTACAGTAGTTTTTTAATTTTTATTTGTGGTAAAAACTATATTTATTCATGAAGCAAGAAATGTTTGCCTTGCACCTTAATACAAAAATCAGATTGAAATATCGCTTTTCATTTCCTACGTTGTGTGCAATTTACTTACCAGTAAGCGAATATATGTAAGGAGAAATCTGTATCCATTGTACATTCTGCTTATTTTGTTCCCCACTAACTGCATCTAGAGTTTCATTTACAGAGAGGGAGAAAAGTGTAAACATGCCCTCTATCTTTTTAATGTGTTCGTAAAAGTTTTGTAGTAATGTCTCATTCAGCTTCCTGATATCACCTCGTAATAATTTATCATTTTGAAGAGTCAACTTCTGAATCTCGTTTTTAGATGAAGAATAGGAGCTATTCAAAATGTCTATTTTTCTTTCAATAACTGACAGTAGAGTTTTAGTTTTCGAACTTTCCACAGTCAATTTCTGGTTTTCTTTCTGTAGAGTTAATGCTTGTCCATTAAGGTTGTTTATTCCTGATTCATTCAAGGATTTGAATTGTTCCATTATACGCTGTTCTTTTTTCTCTATAGCTTGTAATTTATCTATTAAATGTGTTCTAAGGTTCCATATTCCCGTCTCGTTAAGATTCCGAAATTCCTCCATTGTCAGGTATTTTGTGTTATTTAATGTTACATTCAAAGCCTTCATTTCTTGTTTAAGTTTAGAGTTTTCTGCCTCTATTCTCTGGTCTTTTGTCTCCAAATCCTGTAACTCTTTAATCACATCCCGAAGCTTTGTCTTTATAATCTGTCCATTGTTTTTATTGTCTATGGCATCCATAACCAACCTCTGGATTCTTTGTACCATAGAGAAGCGTACAAGACTCTCCTGATTCAGAATGTCCCGTAATACATTGGACGCTTTTCCTGATACGGGACTGGGCGACAAACCATTTTCGTCAAAGGTTTTGTTATAAGATAAAGATAATTGCCCAAAAGTTTCTGTTATCTGCGTTGAAAATATGAAACATATGAAATATAAAGCTCCCATCTCTGTGGTTAACGTGTTTCTTCAAGTGAAGAACTGATTTTGTCGTAGGATAGGATACCTCATATTTTATAGTGCACTAGACGTTGAGAGGAAATAAATAATGCGTAGAAAAAGTATCGTGCGGTATTTTTTTCTGAATTCTAAATTTTGATTGGTTGCCGGTTTGATACAGACATATGTATTGGGATTTAGAGCGAGTCCCTCTCTTCTCCACCCTTCTTTCTCTTTCCCTACACATATTTCTGGTATTTTATTGTAAACACTCTATAAAATCTTCTTTGTTTTCTTGTAATAGACGCGTTTTCACATCCATCGGATGTTTCATGTATCAATAGTTTTGTTTTTTTACGATGTTTATTCGTATCAGGAAATATCTTAAATGGACAATGGAATATGTCATTCGAACAAAAATTTATCAAAATGTACATGGTAGTCAGAATAAGCCGTTGGTAAGCCGTAAGTGATAAATGATTAGGTATTATACAGTTATGGAATTGGTGTGGAGGAAGTAGCAAATTTATGGATCCCCAAGGGAGGCCGCCGAGGGAATTAGTTTCCTGCCGAGGGGAACCGTAAATTTGATATTTCCTGCGTACTCATTCCATAACTGTTTTATTATACCGAAACAATCATTGGAGATTTTCTAAACTAGACTGAGACTCATATATTTTAAAAACAATACAGAAGCATTTAAATATATAATCACAAATGCATGTGATTCAAAATATTGTAAGATAACTAATGCATCAATACCGAGGAAAATAAAATTATTAAATAATATATAATGATTTCACTGACATTTCGAAGGATTATCGTTGATTTCATTTTGTTAGAATTCCAGTATGATTTTGACATCGCATGTTGAAATGTTTTGACGTCATAGTTACATTTCTAATAACACTACGTCACAAACTCGAAATCCCTTGAACGCTCCGCCCACTGTTCATTTTAATTGGTTAAAATAATTAATAAATATTCATGAGGGAGTAGTCCCAGGGAGTAGCTCTGATTTTTCCTCAGATAAGGAAAATAGTGTCTTCTCAGGGAAATAGTATACACTTATCCACAGGCTGTGAGTGGGATAGCTCTTTTATCAAACCCGCGACAGGAACTATTCCCCGAGGGCTTGCCCTCGGGGAATAGTTCCTGTCAAGGGTTTGATGAAAGAGCTATCCCACTCACAGCCAGTGGATAAGCGTTTTATTATACTGATGTGTATCATAATTTCTGAGGGTTGGATTTACCTGATACTACAGTTCGATAGTAAAAACATGAAAAAAAAATTATAAATGTTTTGAACAAGTATTTGGAATAAGATAACACTGCTAAAATGAGCTGAAATCCTGATGACGTCACAATGCTACTGAAGTCAGGATGACATCACAAGTCTATAGATTGATTACAGGAAATCAAAATTGGCGGCAAAATTTGCATGAAAACTTTCCTAGGGGTGGATAGCAAAAACTATACCCCAGGGTATAGCTTTGCTATGTGTGGAAATTTTGAGAGTATAAAGATAGTAATTTTACCTTCTTAACTTTATATAGGAAACATTTTAACAGAAGTATAATAAACAGTTTTATGGTATTAATTTTATATAGAGTAATATCAGTAGAGGTATAATAAAAACTGTTATTATACCTCTACTGTTATTACTCTATATGAAATTAATACCATAAAACTGTCTATTTCCCCGAGAAGATACTATTTCCCCCATCTGAGGACTACTCCCTGAAAAATAAGAGCTACTTCCTGGGACTACTCCCTCATGAATATTTATTATTAATTTCAACCAATTAAAATGAACAGTGGGCGGAGCGTTCAAGGAATCTCGAGTCCGTGACGTAATGTTATTAACGATGTAACTATGACGTCAAAACATTTCGACATGCGATGTCAAAATCATGATGGAATTTCTAAGCAAAAAGAAGACAACGATAATCCTTCGAAATGTCAGTGAAATTGTTTTTTAAAATAATTTTATTTTTTTCTGTAATGATGCATTATATATTTAACAAAATTGGAATCACATGCATTTTTGATTATCTATATAAATGCCTCTATATTGTTTTAAAAATGTCTAAGTCTCTAGTTCTCTAGTTAATAAATCTCCTTTGTTTCGGTATAATAAAACAGTTTTAAAATGGATACTCGGGAAATATCAAATTTATGGTTCCCCTCGGCAGGAAACTATATCCCTCGGCGGCTTCGCCGCCTCGGGAAATAGTTTCCTCCCTTGGGGAACCATAAATTTGCTATTTCCCGAGTACCCATTCCATAACTGCATATTATTCCAAGTACAGTCTCTATAAAATATAATTAAACTAGGAAACGTTTTTGTGTAGGAAAGATATTTGTATTTAAAAAAAATTCCTTAACGAATGGTAAATGGTCTTAATGGATAAATAAAAAGAAAGTTCGTATCATCAATAAGAACATTTTTGTATCTTTGTTTAATTTTTTAAACAAAATTCTTTTTGAGTTTAGGAGGTAAGAAAAATGCTAAACAAGTTGCCGTCCTTCAAAAAGGACTGTAATACGTGGACCATAAGCCTGTGTTTCTAAAAGAATCTAAAAAAACATTCTGGTTTGAATGAAAATACGTTTAAATAGGATTTCTTTTATCATATAAATTTAATGATTTGAATTTAGTGTTATAGACTATTACTAAAACTATAATAATGAATGAAAGAAGTGCGTCCTGGATATCAATACTTGATCAAGTAACCTACTGTTTACTGTGTGTAGCCTTGACCTTAAAATGGGGTCATCCATTTATCACAAATACCCCATATGAAAACTGTTTTTCTCGAGCCCAGATTTTAAGATACTGTCCAGTGTTTAGCAGTATTGTTCTCTTTGAAAGAGAATCCATCTCTGTTAAAAAATACATTTCATACAAGGGCTGTAGGCTCTGGGGGCTCCATATTCCCAATAACTTTGCCAGTATATACTTTAGTATAGAAAACGAGAGTAATATACAGGTGTGCACCTCCATATTATTTTGGCTGGTATAACATACATTATTTTAAATCGAAGGTCATTTATGGTCGTACGCTCTTAAGAACCGGCAGAGGATCTTTTTTCCGTATAAAAGCTTGTCAGATCCCCCCCCCCCCCTTGAAAGTCTAGATTCACAAAACCGAAGCCGGTGAATAACTGTTCCATCTTTTAAAGCCTCGTCGTTGAATTAAGTGTTAAATTCAAGCTATAAAACAATCTAAATTCTTTCTTCCTTTAATGCTTGTTCAATAGAATGTTTGTGTGCATATAAGGATATATGTATAAAAGAATAGATTTGGATCTTGGATACGCTCTTGAATTAATAAATACGATGTGCAGATTTTAGGCGAGGTTTGCCATTGATTAGAATGTTCTAATTCAAAAGGGCATATTGTCCTAAGAGCAAGTTGTCTAAGGGGGCGAACTGTCTAGCATTCTCTCGCATGCGTAACCTGAAGTAAGCCCATAGCACCCTGTTTAATCTCGCTTATATATTTTCTGTGTGGACTTCAGGAATTCGAATGGAAAACAATTTTTTTAGTTATATTAGGTTTCTTCATTGATACAACACACCTGTATAATTATAATTTATGAACCACAACTTACTTGCTAATTTATATATAAGAATTATTAAGATTTTTGTGTTTCCTTAATTCTTAAAATTCTCCAAGAATAGTTTTACTTGAGCCGCATATTTAATATTTCGTGCATTTTTGTGACTTTCAATACTACAGTGATTATAACTGTCTAAAATTTCATGTCTACCTGTATTTTTGAGAAGAAACAAAGTCTTTAATATTAAGCATCATCAGAGAACACAATAAATGTACTTTATTAATTACTTTTAATAAAATTATATTGTAAATAAGGGAATTAGTCATCGTTGTAATTATAAGGGGTGAGAAACATTATGATTGTACACAAATACTCCGAAGCTGATATTAAAAAGAGGCTTGAGTTTCTGACTAACAATATTCATATAGTTTTTAGAGATCAACTCTTTCGACAATCTGTTTGAATTCCCATGGGAACTAATTTCACTCCGTTATTAGCCTTTATAGCCTTAAGACCTTTATTTGGTATTCACATGATGCAGCAGAAACTTCTGCTGTGGCCTTCAGTTTAACATTTAGATATATCGACAACGTTTTATCTTTTCACAAAATTCATTACTACGTTTATTCGATCTCGAAATAAAAGACACCCCAGAGTCTGCGCAAATCTGTTTTCTTTTTGGATATTTTACTAGTAAAAAAAATTATGGTAACCTACATGTACCAACAAACATTTATGATAAACGTGATGAATCAACTTTTAATCTCCAACAACCTTTATCTGTGTAGCAATATACCATTATTAACTGTATATGGAGTTTATGTCTCCCAGTTGATTCGATACTCAAGGGCATTCTCTAATGTAAAGAATTTCTAAAACGAAGAAAGCTATTGACAAATAAGTTGAAAATAGAAAGAAATAAACAGTCTTGTTTAAAGTCAACATTTCGCAAATTCTATAGTCGATACAATGACCTTGTTAGAAAATACAGTCTATCGTTAAGCCGAATGTTGACAGAGCTTTTTCATACAAATTGTTAAGCCATTATTCTCACACTGAAATGTCTACGGATTTTTCCACTTGTCTGGTCATGACAAGGACCACACGGCAGGCGTGACGGTTCGACACATGATGCTTACTCATTCATTATTACTATTTTTTCTCACAGAAGGTTATGATCAGAAAAAATTCCCTTTTCAAATTAGACCTCATCTACAGAGGAAATTTTGTTAAGATGTCATGTTTGGTTCGGACATTTTTTTTCCGTTGAATGGCTGAAAGATCGCCGACTGGGCGTTAAACAAAATCAATCAATCAATCAAAACGCCCTGAAACACGTTGGACAAATTACCTGATGTTACACTAGTACCTGTCTGTTCTAGGGTTTTCTTACATCTACAAATTAAGTATATGTTAAA